GCCTGCCGTTGGCGGTCCGACTGACAGTGCTCCTGGTGCTGCTGCTGGAGGTTCTGGAGCTTCTGGTGGTGCTGCTGGAGGCGCTGCTGGAGTGGGTGCTCCTGCCGGGGCTGCTGGTGCTGTTCCTGCTGTTTCTAGCGTCGCCGCGCAGCCCCGACCGTACTTCGTTCCGCTCCTGCAGCAGGTTCTTGGTCTTACACCTCCTCCTCCTCCCTTAGAGGGTCCGCAGCCTGTCCGGTCACACCCACAGCTACAGCCTGCCTCCCCTTTGCCTGCTCCTTCTCCCTACGATGGTCCGACTGGAGGTCTTACTGAGCGTCGTGAGCCTGCGTCTCGTCCCGTGTCGCCTGTTCGTACTGAGCGCACTAGTGGTCGCGGGTCGCGTCAGCGTCCTCCTCCTGTCCCTGGCACGCACCGGATGTCACTACGTCCGTCCACTGCTCCTCTGCGTGCCCCTTTGCCTTCTCCTCCTGCTTCCTCTCTTCCTGCTCTTGCCGACCTGGAGTCGGACTCTCTTCGTGCTGCCAGTCCTACTGTCACGCGTCTCCTTGCTACTGCTGTCACTAACCCTTCCTTCGAGTCATCTGCTGCGTCTGCCCTTGTCACTGAGCTTGTCGACTTTGCTGCGCGCTGTCGTCTAGACTACGCTGCTCGTCTTGTCACTGAGTCTGAGTCCGCCTGTCCTCCGTCCGTCGGGGGTGAGTGTGCCCTTGGCACGGACGTCCTTGACGACAGGCAGGAGGAGTTCCAGTGTCTCGCCGCCGCTTCACCTCGTCTCGCGTCTGTACTGCTAGCCCCTGAGGGAGACCCGGATGCACCAGACATCCCGACTCCGCGCTCTTACGCGGAGGCGATAGAGGGTCCCTACTCCTCTCAGTGGCAGGCAGCTATGGATGCAGAGATGGCTTCTTGGAAGTCCACAGGCACCTACGTTGACGCTGTTTCCCCTCCTGGGGCGAACATCGTCAGTGGCATGTGGATTTTCAGGGTGAAGCGGCCGCCGGGCTCTCCGCTTGTCTTCAAGGCGCGTTACGTGGCTCGTGGCTTCAGTCAGCGGCAGGGGGTTGACTACTCTCAGACCTTCTCCCCCACCCCGAAGATGACCACTCTTCAGGTTCTGCTGCACGTTGCTGCTCACCGTGACTACGAGCTGCACTCTCTCGACTTCAGCACAGCTTTCTTGCAGGGCAGCCTGCACGAGGAGATCTGGCTGCGTCGCCCACCTGGCTTCACTGGGTCTTTCCCTCCTGGTACCCAGTGGAGTCTCCGGCGTCCAGTCTACGGTCTCCGCCAGGCGCCACGTGAGTGGCACGACACACTGAGGACTACGCTCGCGGCACTTGGGTTTGCTCCTTCCACTGCCGACCCGTCGCTGTTTCTGCGCACCGACACCTCTCTGCCGCCGTTCTACATCCTCGTGTACGTCGACGACTTGGTCTTTGCCACAGCTGACACTGCTGGACTCGCCTACGTGAAGTCCGAGCTGCAGAAGAGACACACGTGCACTGACCTGGGTGAACTGCGCAGCTACCTTTGCTTGCAGATCACCCGGGACAGAGCACGCCGCACCATTACCCTGACTCAGTCACACATGGTGCAGCAGGTCCTTCAGCGCTTCGACTTCACGTACTCCTCGCCTCAGGCCACTCCTCTGCCTACTCGCCACTCGCTCTCAGCTCTGCTTTCGGATGAGTCCGTAGAGTCGAGTGGCCCGTTTGCAGAGCTTGTTGGCTGCCTCATGTACCTGATGACCTGCACACGACCTGACCTCGCATACCCTCTTAGCATTCTCGCACGCTTTGTTGCTCCTGGGAGACACCGACCAGAGCACATGGCTGCAGCGAAGAGGGTGTTGCGCTACTTGTGCAGTACGTCGCGCATGGGGCTAGTGCTTGGAGGGCGCAGTCCAGTGGTCCTCACTGGGCACGCAGACGCTTCTTGGGCTGACGACCAGGCTACGCAGCGGTCGTCACAGGGTTACACCTTCAGCCTTGGTTCCGGCTCTGTCTCGTGGCGGGCTACCCGCTCGTCTTCTGTTCTCGGCTCCAGTTGTGAGGCTGAGATCTACGCTGGGGCTATGGCTGCACAGGAGTTACGCTGGCTCACCTACCTGCTGACCGACCTTGGAGAGCAGCCTCGTTCTCCTCCAGTGCTGTACGTAGACAACAAGGCCATGCTGGCCTTGTGTCGAGAGCAGCGACTGGAGCACAGAACGAAGCACATTGCTCTCCGCTACTTTCTTGCTCGTGAGCTACAGCAGCGTGGACAGTTGCGACTTGCGTACGTGGCCTCTGAGGCCAACACTGCTGATGTCTTCACCAAGGCACTTGCGCCTTGTGATCATCAGCGTTGCTGCACGCAGTTGGGTCTTGTGCCTGTCTTGCCTCACTTGCTCTCCTCTTGACCTTACTTGTACCTTCGCATATATATACCCTTGCTCTTGCTTACTTTACTCTTGTATACCTCTATATATGATCTTGCATGTGAACTGGCCTTCTGGCCTTTGAACTTGTGCTCGGAATGCGTGGTGACTTTGTGATCCACCCTGAGCTTTGCTTTGCTTTGCTTGACTGGTCTTGTGACCCCTTGTTCTCCCCCACTTTGCCTATGGGGGTGTGTCAGAACATATAGCTTACTTATTTGTGTAGGCTATAGTGGGGTATCCCATAGGGGGTACAGCCCAATTAGGGTTTCCTATTTGTACTCACTTCGTTCATACTCATTCCATTCTCGTTCAATTCTTCTCATATCAAACAGGCCCCACGACTGTGGCAACAGCACCTACACACCCGCCTCATCCGCATCGGATTCCGTCAACTACCTCACGATCAAGGCATGTATCGACTCACCAAAGACGCCAACTACATCCTGCTCATTGTCTACGTCGACGATCTACTCTACATCGGCTCTACCGACGACATCGCTACCTGGTTCGAAGGGGAGCTGAAAAAGGACCTCACACTCACGGTCTCCTCTACCGTCACTCAGTATATCGGGCTCAACATTCGCGAAGAAGAAAATGCGATCTATCTCAGCGCCGAGAAGTACGCCGACACCATCGCCAAACGGTTCGCACTCACACCTGCTACTATCCACACGCCATACCGCTACACGGCAGGAAACGGCAAAGGAAGCTCCGTCCTACTTAAGACCGCCGGAATACGCGACTACCAGCGAAAACTGGGCTGTCTGCTCTTCGCAGCCGTCACCTGCCGCCCAGACCTGTCCTACTCCGCTAGCTTACTCGCTACCTATCTCAAGAGGCCCGAAGCAGAACACCTAGCAAAACTCGACCGTGCTCTTCACTACTTCGTGAGCACCGCAACGATCGGCCTGACGTACTACAAAGACACAACTACGCCGACGAAACTAATCGGCTATGTCGATGCCGATCACGCCGGCGACTCAGATAACAGGCGCTCTCGCACTGGCTCCATCTATCGCCTAGAACCTATCGGACCTATTTCCTGGCAATCGAGCAAGCAGGAACTAACTGCGCTCTCCTCAGCAGAAGCAGAATATATCGCCCTTTGCTCAGCCACCAAGGAAGGACTCTACGTTCGCGAGCTGCTGGAAGAAGCAAAGTTAGCCGAGTTACCCAACTTCACCTTGTTCTGCGACAACCAATCCGCAATTCGCATCGCCAACAAGAGCGGATTCGCGAACAGAACGAAGCATATCGCCCTGCGATACTTTTTCGTGAAAGACGAAATCGAGAAAGGGAAACTCGATCTATCCTACTGTCCCACGTCCGAGATGGCAGCCGACTACTTGACCAAGAAACTTGGAAAACAGAAGTTCGAGTACTGCATGCTGCTGACTGGACAAAGCCACGTCACCATCAGCAACACTCCAGAAGCGAAGGGGAGTGTTGGGAACAAATAAGTTAAGCGCCTCTGTCGTGTCAGTACGGTACTCAAGACACAAAACGAAGCAGCTCAAGTCGAAACAGCGCGAGTCAACCAACGAGGTTAACGTAACCGTCGGAGGTTACGGGAAAGTCAAAGGGCAGCGGCCTTTGACCTGACGCAGCGCGACAGCAAGGACAAACAATTGACTCGACATTGAGCAGTTGCCCGAGTCGCACTGTATCGAACCGCAACAGTAAAATTAGTAAAAATGTCTCTTCATATTCTCTGTACTCATCTATTTATATTCTTGTATCTCTTTGCTTTTATCAACTTACTTTGCCCTCACATACTAGCGCAAGGTGGTTCAAGAGCTTTATTCAACGCTTCCGCTATTACAACATCTACTCAGACTTTAACTCTACAAAGATCCTAGGGCGTTTCAGCCCAACAGCAAGCAACTACAACACCCAATACTCCCTGGAACCGTCAGTTGAGGTGAGAACAAGATGTTAGAATGTAATGAGAGAGAAGTGTGGATTAGGTAGAGGGGGTGGGGGTACAAAACTATTGAGCAATGTGTTGTAACCTGTAAGGGTAATCCCTACATAGCCTAAACAGCTATGAACATAATTATGTTTTGACACTAGAGCCACCATGCGCAGCGCGAAAACCTTTTCCAGCTGGATTTGATGAAGTTTAGTGAAATGAGACCAAACACCCATCTTAGAGTCTAAGACCTCCCTCAGGAGGGGTTATTACACCCCCTAGCAAGCACTACAGGGGATCAGGGTACCGTACATCGTTGGTATCTTCTAACCTCTAGAAGGACCTGTGAAACTTGATGTGCAAGCCATACACGTGAAGGCATGTAGGCCCGTTAAGATACCCTTAAACTGCAGTTACCCTAGAAGAGTTAACCAATATTGGGGAGAACACGAACGATATTCTCCGTATCAACGAAAATGCGAACGCGGTTTGTGCGATAATCCTTCGTGACGGGACGTCCATACGGGATAATTTTCACATCCCAGTTACACTCTGGCATCGATGTCAGGATGTAATTGCGAGCCTTTTCGCCCGTCATGCCAACCACCTCTGGCCAAGAGGTCTTACTGCCATGGGTGTAAAACGGGAGGATAAAGGGGAAGTATGGTTTTTGCAGGGAACATTACCGAGAAGGGAAGACACCTTAGGCAAAAAAGTGGGAGTGCGTTGGGAAGGGAGGAGAAAGAGTTTGATGGATTTGTGGACGAAGTTGTGGTGAGCAGCAAGAGAGAGGATTACATCAGGGGAGATGGGAGACGGAAGAGAGGGGATACGGAGAGGTGGGGAGAGGGTGAGTCAGGGAGGGGAGAGGAAGGAGGTGAGAAGAGGGAGAAGGGTCGAGTAGGGGAAAAAGGGGAAGGGGATAGGGAAGAGGACGGAAGAGAGGGGCAGAGGGGGGGGGAGAGGAGGAGAGAGGGTGACAGAGGGGGAGAGGTGGGGAAAGGAAGGAGGTAGGAAGTGGGAAGAGGAAGGAAGATTAGGGGGGAGGAGTGGACGAAAGGAGGAGAGTGTGGGGAAAGTAAGAAAGAGGCTTGGGAATAGATAAGCCACAATGCGATATCATCACAAATCTGAAACACATACTGCATGTAAAGAAAAAAACAATTATATTTCATACTAGAATTTCTAACGGCTCAGGCAACCCACCTGCTACAGGTCTCCTCAGCAATTTGCTTCGGTCGACGCGGCTTATTGGCGCTGCCGCCGCCATTCTTGTTCGGCTGCGCGCCACTGTTCTTCTGGTTATTCGGCGCATTTCCATTCGCAGAGCCGTTCCCCCTCTTCGGTCCCCCTGCAGCAGTGCCGTTCCCCCTCTTCGCCCCCCCTGCAGCAGTGCCGTTCCCCCTCTTCGGTCCCCCTGCAGCAGTGCCGTTCCCCCTCTTCGCCCCCCCTGCAGCAGTGCCGTTCCCCCTCTTCGGTCCCCCTGCAGCAGTGCCGTTCCCCCTCTTCGCCCCCCCTGCAGCAGTGCCGTTCCCCCTATGGTGCCCCTTGCTCGGATGCCCGCCCTTTGTTCGGTTCCCCGCCGCTACCGTCCCGTTCCCCCTATGGTGCGGATGGCGGGGCGGCGCGGTGGTGTTTACCCCCCTGGCCTGTTGAATCTCCCCCCTAGGCGGAGGAGTGCGCGAGGATGCGAGGAGAGGAATCAGAGCAACGGAGACGAGGAGGACCAGGAGGAGAGAGGGGCGCGAAATCTTCATGGTGATTCTACGGGGCGAGCGGTTTGAAAACGGTACGGTGAATGTAATGAGCGCCCTTGCTGCTGGAGATCTCGTGCGCGAAGACCTGAGGGGAATGGAGGGGATGTAACGTGTGTGTGAGGGGCGTAAGTGAACCAGCCGAGCCGCTGTGACTCTCATCCACGGCTAGCCGAGCCTCTGTGGCTCTCAGCCTCGGCTAGCCGAGCCTCTGTTGCTCTCATCTTCGGCTAGCCGAGCCTCTGTGGCTCTCATCTTCGGCTAGCCGAGATTATGGGGCTTTGATCCTTGGGTTGATCCTTAGCAGCAGATGCCGCAGACGACGGGAGGAGGATGGTACGAGGATGTGAAAAGGAAGGGAGGAGGATGAGACGACTCGGAGGTTGTGACATCGATCGGATAGGCATAGGGACGATGCGACGAGGATGGTACGAAGTAGGAAGCGAGGTGTAGGGGTGGGAGAGAGAGGTGGAGCGGCAAAGAGGGGAGGTAGCTGTCAAATCCTGACGTCACATGGATCGATGTACCTACGATGAGGTATGGAACAGCTTTGCTGACGTTTGCGTGGACCCAACGTCGTACTAGTTCTCAGCAACTGTGACAGAATATCGTAACGCTCGGATGCGACTCGCCGACGCAAAGGGGACGGTCCAACGCGACGCAATGCTGCTGCTTCTGCTGCGAAATTGTCCTGGCGCGGGGAAAGGGGAAATGGTGAAAGGGGAAGGGTGGGGGAGTGTTGGCGGGGGGGGGGGGGGGGAGAGTAGAATCAACTTCTGCTTCTGCTCAGTCATGTTTTGGGGGAGGCTGGAGATTGGAGGGATGTCGGGAGCATTGACGGGAGCATGCCGAGGTCGTCTCAGAGTTACGAGATCGTCTTGCGCTAGAATATTTCGACGCGGGCCAAGCTTTCGAAGAGCAGACCGGGATTGATAGGAACAATTTCAACAATCTGCCTAGACGACAGACAATAGCTGCAGAGACTGCGAGAAGAAGAGGGGGGAAGGAACGAGGTCTGGAGCCGTACACGGTGCGAAGCGTCGGTGATGAAGAGCGGAGAGGAACGAGATCCTGCTGGCAATGCGGGAAGAATCGATCCAGAGCCGCCTAAAACGCTGATTCGAAGCCTAAATTGTTTCGGACGCTGATGCTCAAATGGTTGATGACTAAAGATGCCAGCGCAAAAGCTTTAGAAATACGATTATCGAAACGAAAGGGGTCGCATGGCGCACGGAAACGCAAGAGCACCGACCATAAACACGGGCGACATGTAAGAATCTCGGACTGTTTAACTCCCAAGAAGCTGCTATGAAACTGGGTAAAATGCTGTGTACGAATCGCATGGAGAAATAGTGGTCTAAAACGTCATCGCACGCCTTCTGCAGCTTGCGGGTGATTTTGCCCCAGTTCGACCTCTTTCCCCATTCACCCATCTCGTCGGGTTGATTGGGACGTGACGTGAGGTTCCCGCCTAATTTGGCGCACCTCCCAAAGGCGCGCCGCGCATGAGCGGTTCCAGGGTGAGCCTGATCTGCAAAAGAAAATTTCCTGTGAAAACAGCCCAACCGTCCGATCGAAATCCTACCCTCGGGACGTTTGCGCGGCGCCCCAGTTTTGGAGAACAGCCGTCACTAGAACCCGCTTAGGGCGTGGAACATCCTTTTGAACAAGGCGATGGTCGCCCAACAGCGACAGTAATCATTGTTGCGACCATCGCCATTGACCTACGAAGCAGACTGACGAAGACTGCCTGAAGAACGCACGTTCCACAGCTTATGCTTGTTGGTCGCCCCACCCGTTGAACCTCGCAGATAAGACAAGAAGTGGCGACGTCAGGAAAAACATGCGAAATGAAACCAGGTGCTGTCGTGAGTGACGTGCTGCGACCCAATTTGCAGCACGGTGTTCGACGAAGCAGGCGCTTTCGTGTATCATCGTGACTCCGTATTTCTGGGCGACCAAGTGTTTCCAACTTGGGATATGGGGTTTTGCGTGTTACCTGACACCATTGACGAGACAAATGTTCGACCAGAGAGCCGACAGGACACTTGTTCACAAGGATGTTCCATGCTCTTACGTCATTTTCAACAGACACATGTACTGTACTGTAACCACGATATTGTCGGTCAGCAAACACGTCGCCCGAGTCTCGACATTGAGAAAAAAAGCACCTTGCCTCATTGAAGGTGCGAACCTGGCGATTTGGACGTGAGCCGAACGAAACTTTTCCCGCCAACAAACATACCTCGTCGGGGCAACAGAGGGACACGCAAAACAAATCTGAGGTCTTGTCCGTAGGGATGACATGTCAAAGTGGGAAGTGTCAACTTGGCATTTGCAGGTTGCCAGCCAATACAAATCGTCGGACACCTCTGAAATTGGCACAGAAAAACCTACAAACGAGAGAAGATTGTCGCAGGTGCCGATCTCACGACCAGATGCTGCCCAATCAGCACACAATATGTCTTTTGAATTGTTCGTTGCCTAGCAGATCTAGCCATGACAACTTCTCAAACCAATGAAATTACATCGCTGATGTTCGTACCTGCGCTTCGACTTGACACTTCCGCTACAGTACTTGACACTCTAATTTGAATGCGCTTCGGGTTGACTGGTTCTTACCTGACATGTCAACCCTACGGACACGAGCTAACTGGGTCCAATTCCTGCCTAGAGAAAGAATTGCTTCATCGTAACAAGAAATTGAAAGTCAACGGGGTCAGCCGCAAGCGATCTGACACCTCTCAAGAAAATACCCCCCAATGGTTGCCAAGATACAACACTGAGAGAAAACCAATACAAAACTTGCTCCATAAGAAGCACTTGCAAAGGTATTAGTGAATTGAAATAAAGCTAGAGAACACATTCAAAGCATGGCTCTGGAAAATCGTGGGGATAGGCGAATTATAATCGCTCATGCAGAAAACAAAGATAATATCTATCATTAACGTCCGAATACCAGTAAATGTTGATCATGCAATAGACTTGCAGAATTATGTGATAATCAGTGATCAAATGGTAACGCAATGCATCATTCGCAAGCGTTTTATGACTTCCCATATTATTACCCTTTGTCCACATCCTTTTGTCAGAACATTATAGCTTATGCTTTTGTGTAGGCAGTAGTGGGGTAGCCCATATGGGGTACAACCCAATTAGGGTTAGTATTTGTACCAAACTGTTTCATAGTTCATTCATTCTCGTTCACATTCTCTCATGGTATCAGAGCAGGTTCCCCCCGTGGGAACTGTGCCTAGGGCCCACCACATCGACCTTTTTTTTCCCTGCCCGAAGCGCGCTCCGCCCGAGTCGCACTTCGTCGAGCCGCCCTAGCGGCCCTTTCCCCTAGCGGCCCCGCCGCCCGTCGCCTCGGCCCCGCCGCCCGTCGCTTCGGTCCCGCCGCCCTTCGTCGCGGCCCCGCCGCCCTACCTCGCGGCCCCGCCGCCCTACCTCGCGGCCCCGCCGCCCTACCTCGCGGCCCCGCCGCCCTACCTCGCGGCCTCGTCGCCCTACCTCGCGGCCCCGCCGCCCTACCTCGCGGCCCCGCCGCCCTACCTCGCGGCCCCGCCGCGCTACCTCGCGGCCCCGTCGCCCTACCTCGCGGCCCCGCCGCCCTTCTGCACCGGCCCCGCCGCCCTACTCCTGCGGCCCTGCCGCCCTACTCCTGCGGCCCCGCCGCCCTACTCCTACGGCCCCGCCGCCCTACTCCTACGGCCCCGCCGCCCTACTCCTGCGGCCCCGCCGCCCTACTCCTGCGGCCCCGCCGCCCTACCCCTACGGCCCCGCCGCCCTACTCCTACGGCCCCGCCGCCCTACTCCTGCAGCCCCGCCGCCCTACTCAGCGGCCCCGCAACCGTTCACCAGCGGCCCTGCCGCCCTACATCGCCCGCGCCGCCCGAGCTGCCAGAACAGCCCGAGCGGCCCGAGCCGCCCGAGCCGCCCGAGACACCCGAGCCGCCCGAGTCGCCCGAGCCGCCCGATCCGCCTGAGCCACCCGAGCCGCCCGAGCCGCCCGAGCCGCCTGATCAGCCGAGTCGCCGGTGCCGCGGAGCCGCAGTCGCTATTGTGCCGTCCGAGCAGCCGTGTTGCCGGGTTACTGCACTACTGAGCTGCCCGACTTGCCCTGTCTGGTGAGACCAGCGCTTCTGTCACTGCACTGCCCCTGTCCTACAGTTGGTCTCGCTAGTCTACTGCTGTCATGGCTTGCCCTAGTGTTCTCGCTTTTGACGCTGAGGGTCAAGCCATTGACTTTGAGGTTTGGGTAGATGACCTGCAGCTCTTCTTACAGTGCGATAGGGCAGACGGTCTCTCCCTCTTTGACCTCACCTCTAGCGCCTCTCCTGCCCCTACTGCTGATGCTGACCCCACTGTTCGCTCCCAGTGGGCCACGCGCGATGCTGCTGCACGTCTTGCTGTGCGTCGCCACCTGCCTACCTCTGAGCGCGCGCACTTTAGTCAGTACAAGAGTGCTCACACCTTATACGACGCTGTAGTTGCGCGCTACTCTTCCCCTGCCACTGCTGCACTGAGCCGCCTCATGCTACCGTACCTCTTTCCTGACCTTACTACCTTTCCCACAGTCGCTGACCTCGTTACGCACCTCCGCACTAGTGACACTCGCTACCGCGCCGCACTTCCTGCTGAGTTCTGCGCCAAGAATCCCCCCCCCATGTACATCACTCTCTATTGTATCGTCACTCGCCTTCCTGACTCCCTTCGCGTAGTCAGGGACCACTTCCTCTCAGTCTGTCCCACCACTCTCACTGTTGACCTCCTAGAGAAGGCCCTCCTAGCAGCGGAGAAGAGCAAAGTCGGTGTAGGAGCCTCTCGTGGTGACCCTCACACCCCCATCTTTGAGGGGTGTTCCCCTTCCCCCTGTTGCCCTCTGTCGCCTCTGCTGCTGCGGCCGACCTCGTTGGTCTTGAGTCGGTCGGTGCGGCGTCTTCCCCTAGCGGGAGACGCCGCTCTGGCAAGGGCAAGGGGGGCAAGGGCGCGGGTGGGGCTAGCGGGGGTGGTGGAGGTGGCGGTGGGGGCGGCGGGGGGAGTGGGGGTGGCGGTGGGAGTGGTGCCGGGGGTGGAGGTGGCGGTGGCAGCGGCGGAGGCGGAGGCGGCGGTGGCGGTAGCGGTGGGAGCGGAGGCGGCGGTGGCGGCGGAGGTGGAGGCGGCGGTGGTGGAGGAGGTGGTGCTGGTCGAGGTGGTACTTCTCAGCGGAGCGGCTTCGGGAGTGGTCAGCGCCAGCAGCAGCAGCAGCAGCGTTCTCGGGACATCCCCCCTCCTCAGCAGCTCCGTGAGTGGTACACGCAGCGTCAGCGTGGTGGGGGTTTTGGCCCGTGCACCTACGTCCTCCGCTCCGGCGACCGCGCGGGTGAGCAGTGTGGGGGTGCTCACCCCACCCAGCGTTGCTTTGGCTGCCTGACGGACGCTTGGCGTCAGCAGTTCCCGGAGGCTAGTGAGATCCCCCGCTGGGGAGAGCTGTCTAGGGCAGGCGTAGCTATCTTTGATCTTGACTTTGATGCTATCCTTGCTGCCATGTATGCTGTGACTATTAGTGATGAGGGTGACTGTTACCGGTGTTTCCCGCCCGACCCGGGCATTGGTACTGTCATATTTATATGACATAGTTTCTGTAGGCTATAGTGGGGTAGCACATATGGGGTACAGGGTTTCTAGGGTTGTATTTGTACCCAATCTTCCATAGTCATTTCATTCCTGTTTTCCTTATTTCACATGGTATAGAGCGGGTCCTACCTTAGGACCGTTTTTTTAGGGCCCACCGAAGCGCGCCTTTTTTTAGCGACCCCTCGGGTCGCCCTTTCCCTCGCGGCCCCGCTGTCCCTCAGACGCGGCCCCGCCACCTCTCCTGATCGCGGCCCCGCCGCCTATTTGACGCGGCCCCGCCGCCTCCCCTGACGCGGCCCTGCCGCCTCCCCTGAAGCGGCTCCGCCGCCTCCCCTGACGCGGCCCCGCCGCCTGTTTGACGCGGCCCCGCCGCATTCCCTGACGCGGCCCTGCCGCCTCCCCTGACGCGGCTCCCCCGCCTCCCCTGACGCGGCACCGCCGCCTCCCCTGACGCGGCTCCGCCGCCTCCCCTGACGCGGCCCTGCCGCCTCCCCTGACTCGGCTCCGCCGCCTCCCCTGCCGGCCCGCCGCTGCTCCTGCCGGCCCGCCACTGCACCTGCCGGCCCGCCGCTGCACCCAGCGGCCCGCCGCCTCTGACGGCCTCGCCGCTGCACCTGCCGGCCCGCCGCCTCTGACGGCCTCGCCGCTGCACCTGCCGGCCCGCCACTGCACCCTACGGCCCGCCGCCTGCACCTGCCGGCCCGCCACTGCACCTGCCGGCCCGCCTCTGCACCTGCCGGCCCGCCGCTGCACCTGCCGGCCCGCCACTTCACCTGCCGGCCCGCCGCTGCACCTGCCGGCCCGCCGCTGCACCTGCCGGCCCGCCACTGCACCGGTCAACCCGCCGCTGCACCTGACGGCCCCGCCCCTGTATCTCCTGGCCGAGCC